TATCATAAAAATTAATCTTTTCTACAATGATAAATATACATTCATTCATATACCACATAAAAATAGATATCTAAATTCATCACAATTAATAAGAATTTTTTATTTATGGTCCTGCAGCTATTCATCACAGACAGTCCTTCTCCGTTCCAAACTTCCCAGCATCCATAAGTGGTGGGATACACTGTATCAAACTAAAGAGATAATGGGTCCCGCTTTATGAATAAGGGGACAATTCCTTGTACTTCGGACTATTTCTTCTCTTCTCATTTGGTTCAAAGGGGGTATCCCTACTCGAATTAGGGCTTGATATACCCCAGGCCAAATCACTCAAGACCTGGAAAGCCTTCACCATTCTCAACCAAAAAAATATTAATAATAGAAATTTATAATTTTATTAATATTTGTATTTTTAAACACTTTCATATTAAATGTCTATTTATTGTAAACTATATATTATTGACCTAAGTAATGGACAAAGAATTAAATAAATTTATTGATTAAGCTAAAATAATTAATTATATATTTACCAACCCCTTCCATTTGATCTCAAACATTAAATAATAGAGGTCGAAAAAAATATTGTACTGTAGACTTCGATTTTGCAAGGAGAAGAGAGGATTGTTCTTCCTGATAATTTGATATGAGTGGTCATTGATATCATTAGGGGAGGAATCTATTGAAAAAAGGAGCTGGAATATCTTCCCAATTTCTATTCGTATATAAGGGCATCTTTTTGAGGAAGAGCTTCAGTGGTACAGAAATAAAGGGAGATTCAAGAATACGAATCTCAGTGAAGGCTTTGAGTAGAGAGATAATGGGCATACTCGATGCCTAAAATAAAGCTTTTGGTAGGTATTTACTCTTTTTGTAAAATATACTGAAACACTTAGAAACATTTGAACTGATTTTACTTTTTTCCTTTAATAGTCAATTCCTACCTAATAAAACTCAATAATAGAGAGTAGAATTGAGACAATTTTATAAAATCTTTAAGAATACTTATAATATATCTAAATTATTAAAAAATTTATTACTATTTTCTTTCTTTTTTAAATAAATCAAATTTTGACTAGAACAATTATTTGATTATTAAATTTGTGTGATCCTAATTAACCAATTTCTATAAACCCTATCTATAATTATTATTTAGAATATGCTTTTATTTTTAATTTTTAATATTTTAGAGCTTTAAAGGAAATTAATTCTAGCCACATGCATATGCAATTTTTGAAAGACTTTATTTATTTTTTTAAATCAAATAAAACAAAATACAAAAAGTTGCAGAAATTGACTGATATGATAATTGAAAATAATCTTCAAACTTTAAACTTTTGAACTGATCAAAAATGTATATTTATTAGCTCTATAAAATATTTTAGTGTGGAGGATTATTTGATGAAAAAGGGGATTGTATTAAGATTTGATTAATGGGTTGAATTAGGTGAGGGATTTGGGGAGAAATAATAAATAACTTATAACTGTTATTATAATAATTGTAAAAAAAATGGTTAATGGAATATTTTAGATAGAGGATCTAATATGTAATTATTAAATTTAATTTACCAATATTTTAGTGGTAGTGGATTTTATGATTTAGGAGGTAATGGAATTAGAGTTGGGAAATGGATTGAGTTGAAGGATGGGTTTTATTAAATGAGTTAAATAACTTAGAATGGTGAATATGAATTTGGTAAAAAAATTGGTACTTGGATAGAAATGGATTTAAATAGGTGCTAGAAATTACATGAATTCAGTTATGATCATTGAATATTATAAAAATATTTATTATATAAGGTATAAAATAATGAAAAGGTTCAAAATTTTTGTCTTGATAAGGATTTTCATATTTTTTTCTGTAAAATCAAATAGTTATTCAGGTATTTTTCTTTTATAATATCATTTTTTATGGTTTGAAAATATAATTTTGCTTATTTGTGAGAATGCATTACTTTATATTTACTATAATAATTTCACCTTAATTTCTTGATTTGAGTATCTAATGATATGTAAAATATAGCCAATATGTTCAGAAAAATGTATATCCTATCCAGCATGAATATACTTACTCATAAATGCACATAAAAAGCAACAGCTAAATAACAAATTCTTTAGATAGTATGAAAAAGAAAAATAAAAGGAATGACATGACATGAAAGTTGAAATGATTGTTAAAAAATGAATTTATGGCAATAATTTATAAATTCAACTCCAAATTATAGTGAAAAGGCAATGGAACGATGCAAATTGAATGGTAGCAAAAATTAATTTCAGAAAATATGGCTTAGGTCGATCAAATCAATATTATAATTACCAAAGAATCATCTAATAAGATAATAGAAATGTAAATTAAATGTAAGAAAAATAGATAAATACCTAAAAATTCAATCTTCTTCTTTTTATATTCTCATAAAATATGCTGTGATCATAACAAATATAGAAATGGGTATTTCGCGAAGGTTAGCCAAAAGGCTCTCGTACTATTGCTTATATGATATTTGAAAATAGAAAATAAATATTCACATGATATGGCATTTATTATCTAACAGTTTTTCACATTCAGCTTTGTATAGGAAAATGTAAATTACCTTTCTTTGCTTAAACCCATTATTAATTTGGATCGATTTATATAATTTAATTGTAAAAATCGATTGCTTCTTTGTATTTTTATTATGAATTTAAACAATCACCTATCGATATAAAAAAAAATACCTTTGCTAACTAAAGAATATTTATAATTTGGTTAAATTTTCAAAGTTTAGTCTAAAAGGGCAAGAGCTTGAATATATTTACCCTATCGTCTTAATGAATCACCTATAAAATAAAATGTAAAACGACCTTTTGTATGCATTGATGTTAGATGTTTAGAATCTATTTCCAATGCTTTATCAGCCCATAAAATTGCATCATCATATTTACTAAGCATTCGTAGACTTTCAGCTAATAAATAACATAAAAGAATTTATTACCTTTATTAAATAATGAATTCAAATGCTTAGAATCTATTTCCAATACTTTATCAGCCCATAAAATTGCATCATTATATTTACTAAGCATTCGTAGACTTTCAGCTAATAAATAACATAAAAGAATTTATTACCTTTAATATATAATGAACTCAAATGCTTAGAATCTATTTCCAATGCTTTATCAGCCCATAAAATTGCATCATCATATTTACTAAGCATTCGTAGACTTTCAGCTAATAAATAACATAAAAGAATTTATTACCTTTAATATATAATGAACTCAAATGCTTAGAATCTATTTCCAATGCTTTATCAGCCCATAAAATTGCATCATCATATTTACTAAGCATTCGTAGACTTTCAGCTAATAAATAACATAAAAGAATTTATTACCTTTAATATATAATGAACTCAAATGCTTAGAATCTATTTCCAATGCTTTATCAGCCCATAAAATTGCATCATCATATTTACTAAGCATTCGTAGACTTTCAGCTAATAAATAACATAAAAGAATTTATTACCTTTAATATATAATGAACTCAAATGCTTAGAATCTATTTCCAATGCTTTATCAGCCCATAAAATTGCATCATCATATTTACTAAGCATTCGTAGACTTTCAGCTAATAAATAACATAAAAGAATTTATTACCTTTAATATATAATGAACTCAAATGCTTAGAATCTATTTCCAATGCTTTATCAGCCCATAAAATTGCATCATCATATTTACTAAGCATTCGTAGACTTTCAGCTAATAAATAACATAAAAGAATTTATTACCTTTAATATATAATGAACTCAAATGCTTAGAATCTATTTCCAATGCTTTATCAGCCCATAAAATTGCATCATCATATTTACTAAGCATTCGTAGACTTTCAGCTAATAAATAACATAAAAGAATTTATTACCTTTAATATATAATGAACTCAAATGCTTAGAATCTATTTCCAATGCTTTATCAGCCCATAAAATTGCATCATCATATTTACTAAGCATTCGTAGACTTTCAGCTAATAAATAACATAAAAGAATTTATTACCTTTAATATATAATGAACTCAAATGCTTAGAATCTATTTCCAATGCTTTATCAGCCCATAAAATTGCATCATTATATTTACTAAGCATTCGTAGACTATCAGCTAATAAAAAGAATATTTATTTTAATTACATTTAGTATATAATGAACTCAAATGCTTAGAATCTATTTCCAATGCTTTATCAGCCCATAAAATTGCATCATCATATTTACGAAGCCTCCGTAGACTTTCAGCTAATAAATAACATAAAAGAATTTATTACCTTTAATATATAATGAATTCAAATGCTTAGAATCTATTTCCAATGCTTTATCAGCCCATAAAATTGCATCATCATATTTACTAAGCATTCGTAGACTTTCAGCTAATAAATAACATAAAAGAATTTATTACCTTTAATATATAATGAACTCAAATGCTTAGAATCTATTTCCAATGCTTTATCAGCCCATAAAATTGCATCATTATATTTATCAAGCATTCGTAGACTTTCAGCTAATAAATAACATAAAAGAATTTATTACCTTTATTATATAATGAACTCAAATGCTTAGAATCTATTTCCAATGCTTTATCAGCCCATAAAATTGCATCATCATATTTACGAAGCCTCCGTAGACTTTCAGCTAATAAATAACATAAAAGAATTTATTACCTTTATTAAATAATGAATTCAAATGCTTAGAATCTATTTCCAATGCTTTATCAGCCCATAAAATTGCATCATCATATTTACTAAGCATTCGTAGACTTTCAGCTAATAAATAACATAAAAGAATTTATTACCTTTAATATATAATGAACTCAAATACTTAGAATCTATTTCCAATGCTTTATCAGCCCATAAAATTGCATCATTATATTTATCAAGCATTCGTAGACTTTCAGCTAATAAATAACATAAAAGAATTTATTACCTTTATTAAATAATGAACTCAAATGCTTAGAATCTATTTCCAATGCTTTATCAGCCCATAAAATTGCATCATTATATTTATCAAGCATTCGTAGACTTTCAGCTAATAAATAACATAAAAGAATTTATTACCTTTATTAAATAATGAACTCAAATGCTTAGAATCTATTTCCAATGCTTTATCAGCCCATAAAATTGCATCATCATATTTACGAAGCCTCCGTAGACTTTCAGCTAATAAATAACATAAACGAATTTATTACCTTTAATAACTAATGACAAAAAATGATTGTTATTATTAAGCAAGGCATAATCAAAATAATTTATAGCTTCCTCATATTTACTATCATTTTCAGACAATAATTATCCTTTTTTTAATTCTTTAATACCTTTTTAATAAAACTCCTCCGCTTAGAGGATTTGCGCTTGTGTGATTTCTGAATAATTTATTTCATTTAGTTTCAATTCTTTAATTTATGCGTTTAATTAATTAATCAACTAAATTGAATATTTTTCTACACATTCTTGTACAATTTTTGTATTTTCACTATATTTAACAATTTAATCAAGAGCTTAATTCAATTAATTTGCATTCATTTTTTATAATCTCTATTTTGTTATTTGGTACTTTTATTTCAATCCTTAATTTAATTAAGCCAATGATTCATTAATTTTCTCAATCATTAAGCTTAGCTTTTCAATTAAACTTTCGCTTTATTTTTGAATATTTTGAAACATTTCAATTAATTTATTTACTTCATATTAATCAATTAGATGAGCTGCGTGATCTCCATTTCTAAGACATTAGAAACAATAAACTCTATTCGCTGAACATGCTTAATTTATACAAACTAATTAAACATGACTGTCATGTTCTTTAATTGAACATTGTATTTAAAGTTCTATATTTTAATCCATATTTTTAATATTATTTATAATTCAATAGAATGATTGTAATATCGTTTATAAATAATAATTTATTTTATTTTCTAAAAATACTTAATACCTCTTACACATAAGTATTTTTTAATATTTAAGCAATGCTTAATATGAAGGAAAAGAAAATTAAAAAACAAATTGATAATATAATTTCTAAAGATTAAATTTTAATTGTTAAAGTAATCAGAAAGATATTTTTTATTGATGCTTTATTTACATTTTTACTTTCCATATATATGTCTTGACAAAATTTTTATGAGCAAATTTGCACCAAAGAATATTGCATCTAGTC